CCCGGAGCCTCTGGCCTGTACCCCAGTTCTGTATGCACAAATAAATAAATCTTAAAAAAAAAATACTTATTTTGTCTAATGTAAGTAAATAACTTAATGAAGGTTATTTTAAAAAATAGGAAATGATTGTATTAAAATCAGTTACATGCATTTAAAAAAATGTCACAAACTGATAAAGACTACGAGGGAAAATCACTGTGGGCTGAAACATCCAGAAGGATCTTATGACTGTCATAGTCAGTGAAGGTGGATTTAGCTGTGTAAATAATTATAAAAAATCAGATAATGTAATTTAATAATGATGTTGATGGACTGTATAGTGAATGCCCACATTCAAATATGTCTGGGAAATTATATTCCTATAATTATATTCCTAGGGTCCAGATGACCTGACCAGACTTTGCTGTTAAATTGTTTCCATCTCAGTCACAAACACTGACTACTTATGTCTTTAAAAAAAAAAAATGGAGAGACTGATTTTTGCACACAGAACTGGGATGCAGGCCAGAGGTGCAAGGGCCTTGAGAGGCTTCACCAGAGACAGAATGGGGAGCAGAACAGGCCGACTGATGAAGTACCCTGCTGAGGGGAGAAGCAGGTGAGAAAGGAGAGATCTGCCATGCCCTGTGGATCACCTCTGGGGCAGGAATTGAACTTGCACTGAAGCGGCTGCAACTAGCTTGCAGTGCTGGCTTTAACCACTGCGCCACCAGGGAGTGCCTAAACCTGGTCTCCTATCTTCATGATATGGATGAAAAAAAAAAATCTAAATTAAAATAGTGTATCTACCAATTTATTTTATTTCATCTTCATATCATATCAGCTATTAACACAGATTTATAACACTGCACATTATTAAAGTAAGATTTATGCCTGTACAGATGTGTGTTACTACAACACTCCCATTACAAAATACCCATCATTCTCCACCAAAGTTGAAGGTCATTCCTCTTCTCACCACCCCTCAGTCCCCAGGAACCACCAGCCCACTTTCTTTATCCATGAGTGCTATCTTGATATTTTACATAAACAGACTTACACACCATGTGACATTTAGAAGGGTTGAATGTTACAATTATAAGGCTGAACAAAAAAAATCCAGACACAAAAGTAATGACATCTGTATTTTTCAATGTGTATATTACTGTTTCAATATTGTTTTTGAAAAAGCCATTACTAGAATAAATAACATGATCAGTATCAAGACTTATGTAATCACAGCATTGTATTTATTTCATGAGATATAAAGTCTCCCAATGGAATCCAAACAGTTATTTTTTTAAAGATTCATTCTTATGTGCGCATACACAGCTGGAGTACAGGCCGGAGGGGCAGGGGTGGCGAGAGGCTTCACCAGACACAGAGTGGGGAGCAGAACAGGCAGGTCCACGAAGTACACAGCTGAGGGGAGCAACGCGGGTGACAGGAGAGTTCTGCTCCACCATGTGGGTCACCTCTGGGGGCTGGGATGATCTGGGACTGAATAACTTGCATGCTGTGTATTGAACGCATTGCGCCACCAGGGAGGGCCCAACTCTGTCATTCATTTTTGCAAAGATTTTATTTATTGATGCATACAGAACTGGAGTATAGGCCAGAGGTGCAGGAGTGGTCAGAGGATTCAGCAGAGACAGAGTGGAGTGCAGAATAGGCAGATCCATGAAGTAAACTGCTGAGGGGAGCAGCGGGCGGGTCAGGAGAGGTCTGCCCAACCATGGGTGACCTCCCTGGCCTGGCATCAAACACATGCTCAAGTGGCAGCAGCTGGCTTCGTAGTGCTGTGCGCAACCAGGGAGGGAGCCTCATTTTTTTAAGATTTACTTACTTATGCAAACAGAACTCTGGTATAGGTCAGAATTACGAGGAGTGTAAGATGATTCACCAGAGACAGAGTAAGGAGTAGAACAGGCAGATCACTGAAACACAGTGCTGAGACAGCAGCCGGTGAGACAGGAGAGGTCTGCTGGGAGTCGTGGGTCAGCCCTCTGGCCAGGGATCCTGCTGCAGTGGCTGCAGATATCTTCATAGTGCTGGGCTTTACC